TGAGAAACTTTTCTAATGAGGTACATATTTATTTCACATAGATCCTCAAAAAAGATAAGGTGTGTTGAGAGCAGGTGTTATTTGGGAAGGGAGGAGCCACTGTGCGGCCAAGTTCTTCCCCCTGCACCTCAGAGCTTCCCTGCCTCCCAGCGGCTTTCTGGCTCTGAGACAGAGGCTATAGACACCCTCTCCCTACTCCCAAGGGGTGTTCTTCTCTCTCAAGAAAGCTGGACAGAAATCCCTTCCCAGGCATCTGTTAATGTGGCTAAAATTGGCTGATAGCCTGGACTTTTGAAAAGACTTCCCTAGACACTGAAGGGAGTGAACACAGGGTCCAGGCATCTGGCTCACCCGGGAAAACTGTCTGCTTTCACCCCTGTACCAGGCCCCAGCTTCTGAGCAACATCCTCCACTCTCCTGCCTGCAGAGTGGAGAGGCCTATGTGTGACTTGAGGCTGAGGACTGGCTCCAGCACCAGACCTCCTAGGTTCAAATCGTGGCTGTGAGTCCTCCGTCCCACTCCAACCTCAAAAAATAAGGATAATAATGGTACTTGTTTTGTAGGGTTGTTATGAGGATTAAAATACAAGTAAAATGCTTAGCATTGTTCCAGGTGAGACCTTAATAAATGGCAGCTACTGGCCCTTCAGCCTCTCCAGCTCCTCTTCATCCGGCCCATCAGCAGTCAGCCCAAAACACCACCTTTCAGGAGCACACAAGGCCACCACCCTGTGTGGCTTCCTGTTGTCACTCACTCCTAGCACAGCCGTACCTCTGAAGACCAGTCTGCAATGCTGGCTGCACTTCCACTCTTCTCCTCATGGACTCTGCCTTCAGCTTCCATCACTCCATCCCCATCCAACACTTTTCTTGGGGAGGTCACAAAGGGCCTGCCCGACGCAGTGCTCGTGCTTCCCTCCGCATGTCCTCAGCCTCTCCGCAGACTTGGTTACAGCTGGACTGGCCTTCTCTTCCTTGGTGACATGGTTCTCTGCTTCTGTCTCCTGAATGTCTGGCACTCCTCCTTCTGTCTGCAGCTCCCCCACCTCTTCCTTTACCTGTTGAAGCTCCTTCAGCAGTTGGGGCACAGACCTGGGCCCTCTCCCCACTCAGACCTCTGTCCCTCAGAGTTCTCCTCCATTCTCTTACTGCTCTATGCCAGCTGACAGCTCCCTAATATAGATCTTCAGCCCAGATCTCTCCACAGAACTTCCAACTTGGATATTCAAGGACCTACGTCATACCTCTGTTGGATTGTGCCTCAGCCATTCTAAATTCACACACCCCAAACTAAGCTCTCAGTAAATCCTTCACAAACCTTTTCTTCCCTTCTTTCCATTGAGTAAATGGTATGTCCATCCATCTTGCAGCTCAAGAAACTTGCGACAGCCTTGATTCCTACCTCGTCTTCACCAACTCTCATCAAATTCATTGCCAGTATCTCTTGATATCACTGCTAGAATACACTATCTCTCCTTCTCCAGTGCCACCCAGGTCCAAGCTAACACCAGCTCCCCCTGGAAATTTGCACCCACTCTTTTCTCTGAGCTGAGTTCTCCATGCAGCAATCAGAGTGATCTTTGAAATGTAAATTGGATCCTGGCACTCCTCTGTTTAAAACCTTCTGGGCCAGGGCTTCCCTGGTGGCGCAGTGGTTAAGAATCCGGTGGCCAATACAGGGGACACGGGTTCGAGCCCTGGTCCGGGAAGATCCCACATGCTGTGGAGCAACTAGGCCCATGTGCCACAACTACTGAGCCTGTGCTCTAGAGCCCGCGAGCCACAACTACTGAGCCCACGTGCCACAACTACTGAAGCATGCGCACCTAGAGCCCATGCTCTGCAACAAAAGAAACCACTGCAATGAGAAGCCCGTGCACCGCAATGAAGAGTAGCCCCCACTCACCACAACTAGAGAAAGCCCGCGTGCAGCAACGAAGACCCAACGCAGCCAAAAATAAATTAATTAATAAATTAAAAACAAAAACAAAAACCTTCTGGGCCAGAATAAAACACCAGACCCTTGCCTTGCCTGTGGTCCTGCACAGCCTCATCACAGGACGCCTCACCTTTGCTCTCTTCTGACACAGCTGCTGTTCCCTCTGCTGAGGTGCTTTTCCCAGTACTCCCTTGCCTATCCACCAAGTTAGTCTCTAGCTAAACTCAACTGGAGAGGCTGTCCCTGACCACCTGATCTAAATTGGGCCCCTCCTGATATTCTCTTTTTCCTCAGCCCGTCCTTTTCCTTCATTGCCTTTATCACAGTTGATGTGTGTGTGTGTATGTGTGTGTGTGTGTGTGTGTGTGTGTGTGTGTATGTATATATATATGTATGTATACCTCCCACTGGGCCCTAAACCGCTAAGGATACAGATTAGGTCTGTTTGTTCCCAGTTGTTTGGCTTGCACCCAGCACATTGAGTGCCACATGGGAAGTGCTTAGCCATCTTCCTTGAATGCGTGACTGCCAGCTCCTTGCCATCGAGTATAACGGGTGGTGGCATGGGAATGGCAGCCCAAAGCACCGGTGCCACAATAGAGGACATCCATAGTGTGGCCCCAGAATGTGCCAGGTGATATGAGTTTGCAGCACCATGGCAGTTCTTCATTGCCAGGTATGGAGAGGGAAGGGGGTCCTGTAAGACTTCCCAGAAGAGCTGAAGCTCATCGTGAGATGGGAGTTATAAAGAGGGTCGGATGAGGGCCATGCCTCCCTTCCTTTCTCCTGCCCTTCTGCGTGCTCCTGTGACAGACCCTACAATTCTTCAGCCTCTTTCAGTCTTGCCCCAGAGTTAATCTAGGACAAGGTCTACAGGAGTTAGGCTATGGGAGAAGAACAAAAAGAAACTACTAGAAATTGCTACCCTGTGTCTTTGCCTATTCATTTCCTGCCCCTGTACCCATTCCCTGGGCTTCATGCCAGCTCCTGCAGAGAAATGGCCCAGAAGTGATGGTGAAGGGAAAGACCCTGAAGGGATTGTTGGGTAATGGGAAACCTTTGTGTCCCCAGCTTTCATTTTTCTTATTAAAAGCAGTAAACATCTTTAGCAGAACCTGGAAAAGCACTCTGCTCTCTGTGGTCCTGCAGGTGAAAGGGCAGGAGGCCTTGGAAAAGCAGGGCCGAGAGAAGAAAGCCAAGTTTCCACCAGGCCAGAAGAGGCTCAGCATTCACAGGGAGGGCCCCCTGCCGGTGGCTCAGAGTTAGACAGATGTCCCCCTAGAGCTCCCTCCCGGGAGAAGTAGAATCCCTGATTCACTGACCTGACATAGGAGGAATCTCCAAATACATTATCCTATAGAAATGTAACTATACGAAATGGTTAGGGTCTATAGTGTATCATGCTGTGGATCAACTGTGGATCAACCAGTCCAACCACCTTTTATGAAAGTATTACTAAAGAGAATTTTCAACAGGTTTACAAATACAGTGACTAAATGCTTACTATGTGCCAAGAACTGTCCTAAGCACTCACTGTACATGTGCTATTATTGCATTTGATCCTCCTGACAACACTAGGAGGGAGGTAGGCCTGTTTTACAGATGAGTAAACTGAGGTTTAGAGGTTAAGTAACTTTCCCAAGGTCATATAGTGAGTAGGTGGTGGCTCTGGGACTCAAACCCAGGGCTGACTCCACATTTTAAAGCGTTATGATGCACTTTCAAACATAACTGTTTCTTAAATTAGGGACTGCATTTACCTGGATATCTCAAGGCCTTTTTCCATCACATTTTTTATCGCTCTCTTTCTTCCTTCACTATATATATTTATTTGTCCTTTTTGAAAGCATTTTTTTTTTCTTGAGTTGAAGTGGAAGCATATTTGCAAAGGGATACTTGGTACATATTCATTGATACTATAAATATTAACTGCTACTATGACCATAATGAAAAAAAGTCACAGATTGGATTTGTTATTGCATTTTGAACTTTCTTTTTTTTTTTTAAGGGTATAATTGCTTTACAATGTTGTGTTAGTTTCTGCTGTACAGTGAAGTGAGTCAGCTATATGTATAGCTATATCCCTTCCCTCTTGGACCTCCCTCCCCCCCCCCCCCTCCCACCCATCTAGGTCGTCACAGAGCACCGAGCTGAATTCCCTGTGCTATACAGCAGGTTCCCCCTAGCTATCCATTTTACACATGGCAGTGTATCTACGTCAAACCCAATCTCCCAATTTGACCCACCCTCTCCTTCCCCCACTGTGTCCACCCGTCTGTTCTCTACATCTGTATCTCTATTCCTGCCCTACAAATAGGTTCACCTGTATCATTTTTCTAGATTCCACATATATGCGTTAATATACGATATTTGTTTTTCTCTTTATGGCTTACTTCACTCTGTATGACAGACTGACTCTAGGTCCATCCACATCTCTTCAAATGACCCACTTTCCTTTTTATGGCTGAGTAATATTCCATTCTGTATATGTGCCACATCTTCTTTATCCATTCATCTGTCGTTGGACATTTAGGTTGTTTCCATGACCTGGCTATTGTAAATACTGCTGCAATGAACATTGGGGTACATGTGTCCTTTTGAATTATGGTTTTCTCAGGGTATATGCCCAGTAGTGGGATTGCTGGGTTGAATGGTAGTTCTATTTTTAGGTTTTTGAGGAACCTCCATACTGTTCTCCATAGTGGCTTTATCAATCTACATTCCCACCAACAGTGCAAGAGGGTTCCCTTTTCTCCACACCCTCTCCAGCACTTATTGTTTGTAGATTTTTTGATGATGGCCATTCTGACCGGTGTGAGGTGATACCTCATTGGAGTTTTGATTTGCATCTCTCTAATGATTAGTGATGTTGAGCATCTTTTCATGTGCCTCTTGGCCATCTGTATGTTAGATCTTCAGCCCATTTTTTAATTGGGTTGTTTGGTTTTTTGATGTTGAGCTCCGTGAGCTGTTTGTATATTTTGGAGATTAATCCTTTGTCAGTTGCTTCTTTTTTCAGTGACTCATTTATATTAAAGTTTTGTTTATTTCTTACTGAAAGGAAGAAGATTTCTCTCCCCGCGTCAGCTATACTCTGCCTCTGGCTTCGGCACCTTCCCAGCCTTGAAAATACAATGCTGCATCTTTTTGAAAAGCTTATCTCCAGTGAGAGAAATTTTCTGAGGAGGATCGAATGCTTTATGAAAGACTCATTGCTGGTATGTGCCGGGTTTTGATGAGGAGAAAAATCCTTAAAGACGATGCTGGGTATCATTTCTTTTAGTCAGCACAAGCGGAAAAAAATGTAAACTAAAGAGCGATTGGCACCTTTTAAAATAATCATCTATCTACATTTTATTTTTGAAATGCCTAATGTAGGGGGCTTTTCTGCATACTTAGAGCATGTATTAAAAATAAGGTGAGGGAATTCCTTGGTGGTCCAGTGGTTAGGACTTGGTGCTTTCACAGCTGTGGCCCCAGGTTCAATCCCTGGTCGGGGAACTAAGATCCCACCAGCCCACAAGCTGAGTGGCACGGGCAAAAAAAAAAGGCAAGCTTCGAGATTTACTTGATCATTGCACCTTATATTGCATATTCACAAGAATTGACCTGACATTTGGACAACAAATTTTTTAAAACAGTATTTCTCATTTCCACATGAAAAGTTAAGTTTTAAAAAGTGAGGATCTTATGAACAATAGGAGGAATCAATTAACAAAGAAAAGCATTCAAAAAATAAACTTTTAACCCTTCACTAGAGGAAAAATAAAATACTTAAAAGATACAAAACAAAACCCCAGAAAAATGGTTAAAACAACAAAAACAACTGAGAATTATGTCAGTTTTCTTTTGGTGTCAGCCTGCCAGCCTTGACCCCTCCCTCCATTCAGGGGCTGCCCAGTCTCCCCTCTACTCAGCACTTCTCAGGCCTGGGAAGTCGGGGGCTCAGTGGGCCAAATGGGCCCCATTGCCTAATCCAGTGTCAGGGGCCCAAGCCTTCCGGCAGCCCTGGGAACTGACCAATGGGGATGCTTTCCCTCTGTGGGAGACAGCTCTGGAATTTATGTGCATTTTTGTAAGAGCAGGAATAAAGACCCATGCACTCTGAAAAAAACAATTAAAAAACTACAGGAGGTGTCATGCTTCTGGGGCCTCTTACAGGAACTTCAGTAGGCTCTAACATGTTTTCTCATTAGCTTTTGTAACCTAGGGGAGATATGGGGCAGAGATTTGCTTCCTTTTGTACAGATGGGGAAACTTAGCTCAAGGGAGATGGTGAACCGTCAGATCTTATGTTGGTGTTCAGGAAACTGGGCCGAGGAGAGTGCGCGCCTCCCTGCTGAGCTGAGGCGTGTGTTGGGCGGGGGTGAGTCTCTGCCTAGAGTGCGCTGAGGTTGGCTGAGTTTGCACAGTCCCCCATCTGACACCTTCTATATGTTTAATTCACTTAGAACTTCCTGGTTTTTTTCTTTCTCTTTTAAATTGGAGGCTGTGTAAGAGAATCATAATTGAATCTGCTGCCTTCTTACAATATCCCAGTTCTCTTTTTAGGTCCTGATCAGTCCCTACCAGCTCACGTGTGTGACCATGGCCGTGCTTGCCTTCTCCCTATTTCCTGGGCTCCCCTTTGCCTTCCCATTCTGGGGCCTCCCAGGTGACCATGGATAGTGTTGTAGTCTCCAACAGCCATGATGCTTTCATCTGCAAGTTAGCTGGCACAAATTGAACCCAACTGATTTAGAAGTTTATAGTGTCTGATAGAAAAATAGAAAAGAAGAAAGGTATAAAGACTGAGAGAGCCCAAAGAGAGTTACTTTTAGGAAAATTCTCCTTGACCTCATCATTCACAAGAGTTGCATATTATGGTGAAAAATAAGAAGGCACTTTATATAAAAATAATTATAATAAAATTCAGTATAAACAAAGGCTTTTAGAAGCCCCTGGCAACCTATTCAAAACATTACCTTTATTATCAGGTAAATCTATTTCTAACTTAAATATACATGCTATAATTTAATTTTCTCTGGTCCTTTTTCAGTGGCAAAATATAGTAACTGAGCTATTTTCTTGCTTTCAAGGTTCTCATTAAACTTCCTTTAAGTCTTCTCCCTATAGAAAAATTCCAGTTTCATCGACTTCTCTAAGTTGGTTTGATTCAGCAACCTTGTGATTCTTCTCTGAGCCTCTTTGCGTCCTTTTCCCTGTGGCCCTAGGGCCTGAGCAGCACTTCAGTAAACACAGGATACTGTGTATGAGAGAGAGAGCAGGCGCTCCCATTAAACATCGCATTGTATAACCTTCCGTCTCCAATTTACAGTGTAAAATGATTTCCCCCAAACAGTTTTGAAGTCAGTTGATTTACCAAAAGCATTTATCAGGATCATGTGTGTAGACATTCAGAGCTTCCATTATGGTTAAAGGGGGGATTCCAGAGGGTGTTATTTGGTTTAATTTATTGTGGCATTGGCAGGATGTAACCCCTCTGTGCCTTATGGCTCAAGGAGGTAATTATAATACAGAGCTGCAAGTCCTTGATTGGCGTGGGCTGCTCTCCTCAGGCATACTGGGCCAAAAACCCCGGCAGGCTGGAATAAGCCTGTGACATGACTGAGTGATTGGAAGGGTAACCTGAAGAACCTGCTTCCTAATTGCATCATCTGATTCATTTATCATAGCACAATATCTTGGTGCAGTGACAGGACCGTGCATAAGTATCAGAGAGATCTTGAAGACTCAGCTAGCACAGGACTGCGGTACTTTCCTCCAGAAGAAACTCGATGCCTATTACATTAGAGCTGGATTCTGAGAGTAATTAAAGTGTGATGGTCTACATAACTTGTATTTTATATGGAGCGCTGTTAATTATGTTTCCATCTCTTGGGACTATCCAGAATTAGCCCTAGAAATTCTATAGTTACCAAGATGTTGCAAAAACAAAAGATAAAAGTGTAGTACAGGTTGTACAAAGTGAAATAATCTCCCCAAATGTTCTTTGGCCTCTCAAGGATGCAAGGCTTGGTATTTTCCATTAAGACTATGAATAATAAGCCACTAACCTAATAATCACCCGAATTCTAAGTGCATGTATGTTTTTGACTTCTAAAATAAAATAAAAGTAAGTTTTCAAAACCTGTTTACTTTTGAGACTCACCCTTTGGCTCTTGTGGGCTGGACCTCCCCCAAGTACATGCCCACCTGCCACATTTGGTGCTCCTAAATAAACCAAGGTATTAACTCAGTTTGTCATCTACTGAGCAGACTGACACTTTTCAAAAGCAGATGGTCTTGTGTGTCCCTTGACAGAACAGGCAATGGAAGACCTAATCCGTAGCTTCAGACCTGACCTTAAAAACTGATGTCACCAAAAGCAGTGAAAGCCACTTGCTAATTATTCAGCTTTCTTGGCACTGTTTGGTTTCCCAAGGCTGGCCCCAAATCAGAAGGATGTTATGTTTTGCAGTTACAATTCTGTTTGTGGAGCCCAGAAAGCTATTGTTTATATTCCACATTTGAATGAAGAGTGCTGGCTGGGTGGCACTGTGCTTGGCTGCCCTGCTGCATGCCAGGGCCGGGATATACCCTGGTTCCCATGCCCTCCCATTTGATCCTTCTCTGGCTGGCCCCTCCAGCGGGATCTAGAGATTTGCCCACTAAAGAGTGCGGGGGTGGGGCGGGGGGGGTTGGTTTTGTTTATTCAGATTTTAAATCAGGAAACACTCCTGGTATTCTCTTCATAGTGCCCTTAAAATTAGTTCTTTATCTTGTCAACTATACCTCAGTAAAGATAGGGTGAAAAAGTAGTTCTTGATCTAATAAGAGCTTAAGAATAATAAACATGCAGATACCTCAGTGTCCTGCTTGACCTCCCTCGTATGAGATAAGATGCATTCTTGTTTTCATCCTCCAGATAGCAATCATAGCCACTTCCAAAAGAAAAGGAAACTTCTTTTACACAAAATTCCAAACACAGCTCCCCTTTAATAAAAAATTATACTGAAGAATTAACTCCACATCCTGGATGATGTCAGTTTTCTCTGTTTGAATAACTTCTTACTAATGTTCTAGGGTTTTCTCTTCCTGATTTCTCATTAGCAGTCTTTTAAGCATTTCGTTTTTGAGCTCTTTAATGTGATGCATGTAATTTAACAAAAGCTGAGGTAGATAATTTAGCAGTGATCGAATAGAAAAGTGTGGAGGTGGTTTCTGCTTGTAGCTAAGAGGTAAAAAAAAAAAAAATCTCAGTAATTGCACTTTCCAGCATCGACCTCAGGGGGGCACCAGATCACCCAGCATCGTCTGTAAAGAAAGAGGCCTAGATCTCATGTTCTGTTTTCACTGCTGGGGATGCAGGACTTGGCAGCCAGTCAGGGATGAAGGGAGAGAAACAAAAAAAAAGAAAAACCAAAAAAAAGAAAACAAAACAGGGCAGTAGTTGACCTGGGAGGTCACTGCCACTCAGAGGCTGCGCCAGGAAGCAGCAGGGGGCTGAAGAGCTATCTTCCCCGCTCAGGCTACACAAACCAACAGGATAGAGGCCACTGGGCGAGGCTAGAAGAGGAACTTCAGATTTGGGGGATTTTGCTCTGCTTCCAGAGCTGGCATCCCTGTGTCTTAACCCTCTCAGAGAGCACGGGTAAATTTAAAATACAAAAGTACATTTGGTACTTGTTAATTTTTTTTTTTAAGCCCAGAAATGACAGATTTATCACTAATTAAACAATAATTGCATTATGGAGTACTGAAAAAAAATTGCTTGTAGTATAAACAACATCTGGTAAAGATTAAAAAGAAAGAATCATTTTTCCAAGCTCAAATTTGTTGAAAGAAATGTGAATGTTTTGAAACAAAACAGATCTTAAAATGCAAAAGGGATATTTACCGGCCTAAGTTTGGTATTTGAAAGAAATGAAGAAAATGGCATAATAAAAGAAAATACATGTTTATAAAGGTCCCTTATTTTACATGACAGAGGTGAAGATTTTTTATGTAAGTAGATTTTTTTTTTAACCAAATTGTTTTTGAACTCAGTAAAGGAGTTTTTTGAAATGAAACTTATGAAAAATCTTTTTTTTAAAGAAGAGTGTTATTTCTTGATGAATAGTCACCTTTTAACTTATATATTAAGACAAGGGCTCCTGCCTGTCAAGGGTTTGGAAGAGTCAGCTACACAGTGGGACATGATTGCCGGCTGTCCGGTAAGCTGGAGGAAAAGCGTCTCATCAGCAATTAATTAAAAAAAAAAGAAACTCCACTCCGGAGTGAACTATATAAAACGACATAAAAATAGATTATGAAAGAGAAGCTATCCCAGGCTTACTGAACTTCAGTTTATCTCTCACCTGAAATTTCTCTCTTTATTTTTTTAGGAAAAATATCTATGAAGGGTGATAAATGTAGACGGCTTGAGAATTTTTTTTTTCTGTGTCTTCACTGCCTTTTTGTTTTTTATGAGAGGCATTCACTTTTCTCTGTGAATTACCTCAAATCATAGTATAATTTCCCTTTCTGGTTTGTATTCTTTTGCTCCCCTCTACCCATACTCTTTCTTTCTCACACACACAAAGAATCAAAAAATGATAGAAAAAAGGAAAGATTTCTTCCTGAGAATTCTGTTCTTCCGTTTTCTTGGGCCTCTTTCAAGTGGCAGGTGGCTTGTAATAATCATTGATGAATCGGGATGAAAACAGGTTAGACACTAAGGACAGAGAGCAAGTATTGATGTTATTTGTACAGTTCACGGCACAGAATGACAAGCTGGCCTCTCCCTCACCTCTGCCTATAATGCAGGCCCAGAGAACGCAGCCACCGCGCACTTCTCTATGTTGCTTAGTCTTCCCTTGTTTTTTCGAGGGATGGAGATGGGCTGTCCTTCTGGGCAGAGAGGAGATGAGCAATGCAGTTCTGGGTAGCTGCGGCAGAGGTAAAGGGATGAGCACCCCAGAACAATCTGGTCCATAAGAAAAGGAAACCAGAGTCTGGAGCTCACCGTCATCATCTTCCATTCATCCTCTGACGTTGAGTGAAAGGATTGGGGGCAGCGTGAGGGGAGAGAAGAAGGGCATAACTCCTGTTACTGATGGCCTCCTGGTAACGTAGTTTCCCTAGACTTGAAATAATCTGTACACGGAAATCGTTAGACCATATGGAGAAGAGAAGAGCTTGAGAAGGAACAGATTTTGGTAGGATGGAGAAAAACAGACAAACAGATGGAACCCAAGAAAGGTTTTCTTTTCTGTCCTCATTTTCAAGAAAGGTTTTCTTTTCTGTCTTCCTTTTAACAGAAAAGATAATTGCCTGGATTGTGGGGCTTCGGAGCTAGGGTGTGGAGCTCTGGGTTGCAGAGTGACCTGTTGTGTTAATGTAGGGTCCTGTTTTAAAAATAAAACAGGATACAGAGGGGTTAAATGTTTGCCTCTTCCCTCACATGGATGCTGTAAAGATTTAGGGGGGAAATTTATAGCTTCCAGAGGAGCATAAATTAAGACTTTAATTCTATTTAGAGGATTCCCTTGATAAGAAAAGTGGCTTACGTTTGCTTTTGTGATTTGATGTCACTGGGACACATGCCTGGCCTGTGAGCACTCCAGGCTTCATGAGGGGACTCAGTGACCTTGAAATTATGTGCTCGGGAAGTGTGAAGAGTGTCATGTTTAAAACCATCCGTAAAGGCTGCAGATGAGAAAGCTGTTCACAACTCTGGAGTGGCGAGGGAGACTGGTTTTTAAATCAAAATCTCTGCCATTGCTGTTTCAAGCCTGGTCACCTCCAGGAGGTTCCCCTTCCTCCTAACATCTTATCTGTTTTAAAAGCTGAAACAGGTTGTAGAAGCAGGTTGAGAGCAACCAAAGTTCTGAAATATTTGGACGGAAAGAAATCTAAGAGGAGAGGCCATTGGCATGGAGAGAACAGGCAGATTCCACACAGTCTGTAGATATTTAAAACATTTGATTGAGCTGTTTTGCTAGAAAACACTGCATAAAAGAAGAGCATGTCCAAGCTCTTGTCCTCTTTCAACAAACTGAATTAGAGCTTTCTTGCTTTCCCCCTTGCTTTTCAAGGTAGCCCTGTTCTACATGTTGGATCAGCCTTTTCTTTGCCATTTGGAAATCCCTGTAATCAGTATTGAATGATTTTCTACTAGCATCAAATTTATAGAGTGGTTCTGGAGTAGTTAAACCATTTAGAACAAAGGTTCTATTTTACCATTTTCAATTTTAGTCTTATTTTCTATCAATGCATTTTTTTTTTTAGGCTCTGTGTGTCACATGACAGTGTTGTTTGGTCTTAAACACACATTGTCTATATATAAGACTTTGAAAAATCGTTCTGGCAAATTTGATGACTCACATTTCTTCAGGACGTGCAGTTTGCTTTTCCCTTTTTTTTTTTTTTAATTTATTTATTTTATTTTTTGACTGCGTTGGGTCTTCGTTGCTGTGCACAGGCTTTCTCTAGTTGGCGGTGAGCGGGCGCTACTCTTCGTTGCGGTGCGCGGACTTCTCATTGTGGTGGCTTCTCTTGTTGCGGAGCACGGGCTCTAGGCACGCGGGCTTCAGTAGTTGTGGTGCACAGGCTCAGTAGTTGCGGTGCGCAAGCTCTAGCGCGCAGGCTCAGTAGTTGTGGCCCATGGGCTTAGTTGCTGCATGGCATGTGGGATCTTCCTGGACCAGGGCTCAAACACGTGTCCCCTGCATTGGCAGGCAGATTCTTAACCACTGCGCCACCAGGGAAGCCCTGCTCTTCCCTTCTTGTTTGATTTTTCCATTATGAATACATAGAAACTTCCATGATATTTTCTGGGCATATATCCAGTGATCTTTTAATAACTGTTATTATTTACAGTGAGGCTGAAAAGCAGAGAGATTAACTGACTTGTCTGAAATCAAAGCCAAAAAATATTCTGCCTCTCCTGTTGAACCTGCCTTTCTTCTGCCTCTCTTCAGTTTGAATTCTGCCAAATCACTGAGTTTATAATGAATTTATCTATGAAAAATTTTAGTTGGTTTCTTTTAGATAAAAATGGACATCAATGAAGGATTAGGGAGTATGGATTACTCAGAAAATAGAGATCTGTAACTTACAAATCGCAAATCTCTCTTCAAATAAAAGGAATTATCCCATCATTTTAACAAGTGACAATGCTCTTGCCTGGAGCCTTCTGTAACAGCCTGTAATGGCGGTGTATGAACACTAGATGGCGCACATTCAATGTTACAACTCGAAATGCCAGCGCAGAACAGGGTGGAAGAGAGTCTATGGAGATAGGCATCATTCTTTCTTCAGCTTGGTCTAGAAAACTTAAGAGAAAACGCATATCCTTTTTTATGTTTTTCTAGTTGAGGGGGTATGAAAAAATGTTTCCCAAAGCTAGTCATATCAAGCTCAATGTGACTCAGAGAAATTCCCTATAGAGCCAATTCACTAACCTTTGGATGCTACTGTAAAATATCTTAGAACCCAAATGGCATCTTCCTCTGGCTTAATGTCATGCTTTGAGCTCTGGCCAAAAAGATATGGAATCTGGGTCAGGCCCACTGAAGCCCCACTCAGGCCACAGTAGGTCGGCTTCTGCAGATTTATACAATCAAACCTGTCATAAAAATACTCGTGGAATTAATTAGATTGCTTTCTTCATTCAAGATGATGGTACCTTTATTCTTTTTTCGTCTGAAGTAATTTAAGCTGCTAAATTCATAGGGCACTAAGATGTAATATTATTTAGTCTGGCATGGTAGTGGCCACTACTTTCCTCAATAATAATTCTAAATTATGCACTTATTTCCTAATAAGCAGGAATGAAAAGATAGCCGGCCCAGATTCGACCTTGAGGCACGTTTAAGTCATGTGAGGAGGTCAGACACACAGGGCACATTATGTAAAACTAGCAACACAGGTAGGCTCTGTGTCTTCATTACAGCATGCCGGTAGAAGGTATATTTTAATGTTCCATGATACTTAATGACTCTTTTTTCTGTATCATATGGGCTTATTGTTGAAAATGTGGAACGTACAGAGTATAAAGAAGAAATAAAGGTTGTACATAATCTCCTTGCCCCAAGAGAACTACTGTTTGTATTTGTATGTAGGGCTTTTGCTATGAACTGGTTCTTGTTTTTTTCTAACTCACAGGAATGTACCCACTTTCTAGACACCAGCAGTTCTAGACAACTCATTTGCCTGATAAGAGCAAGTCATTATTGATGAAATGCTTCTGATAGTTTACTTTCTCATGGTCCTTTCCTTACAGCCTGCAGCTGCCTGCCACCCTGCCATATTCAGAGTTGTTGATGAAATGTTCAGGTCAGTATTGTGTGCTGTTTCTGCTAGTAAATTGGTCTAAATATGTTCAGCTTCCAAATGCGAATAAAAAACTCTGTGGTAGTCTCTGGCTGTACCACGGGGGAATTAGTTTCTGCTTCCATCCCCTCCTGCTGAGCTTTTTGGTAAAACCCAAATGTCAACGTATATTTAAAAGCCAATGCCTAAAAATTAAGGTAACTATCTTTTTTTAACCTTTTAAAATTCTAATAATAATGGTAGAAAATAAAATTACATGAGATTTACATCATTCAATATTCATGTAGAATTTTTCTCAACTCAAAATAAAGCGTAGTAGTGTTCTCCCTTCACCACATGAGGGCTGACCAATCTTTTTAAAGGATTTGAAAGCTAAGGAAAACCAAGAATAATAAATAAATGATGCCATTCTTAACAGAGCTCTTCTGAAAGGCAGAATCAACTATGCATGTTATCTTACAGCACACTAATTTTTATTCTGCAAATACCAGAACTTCTTGGTAAAGGCATTGGATTTACAATGATGAAAGATGAGGAGACCCCTGGACATTAGGTTGGGTTATGGCTGCCAGTTAGTGGGGGGCCGGACTTGCCCAACCAGGGAGGGTTTCCAGCCTCTTTCCTGGGTGCTGGTATGGCCAGGGTATCTACTCTCTTTATCCCATCCCCCGCACACTCAGCAAACAGAGGCCCCATGGCAGACAGCAGACACTGGGGAAAAGAATTTTTACAACAGCAAGTAATCCAGTACCTGGGTTGGTCTTGAAACATACCAACTTTAAGCTAAATGAGTATAGAAATAAGTCAGAATGCTGTTTTTAGTTTAAAGCTAGCAAAGTTTCAGTTGATTTTTTTGTTATTGTTTAAACAAACATAAAGAAAGGTTAGTTGTGTGAAAATGCATAGAAAACAAACCAGGAATATGCAGATTCTTCCACCACTTTGCTAGGTGGATTTGACCGAGCCATTTTAACCCCGGGGGCACCTCTTTCTCCACTTGCAAAAGCAAAAGTTCTGTGGATGTTGCATTTCTGGGCGTACAGTGCACAAATATTTGTAAAGAGCATTCCAGACCCATGTGGAAGGGATATGAAGTGCTTAATAATTTAAAAAACAAGAAAGGGAGCTCTGCATGTTTGCAATTTTAAAGAAAATCTTTAGAAAAGGATTTCACGCAAGGACTGAAAACTGATGAGTTGAGATACTGTTGCAGCTTATGGCACGAAAAAATGTTTCCATTTTTCCCTTTTACATGTCCAGGTTCACGTGTTTGCCAGGTTAATCACTGAATGTGTTGTGATCTGGCTTTGCATTGCTCAGGTACGCACTTCTGGAAACTGATGGAGCCCTAGAAGTACTAGCCACTATCCAAGTGTTTACACGATGCTTTGTAGAAGCTCTGGAAAAAGAAAACAAGCAGGTTCGTTATATTGCAGATATTATTCATTCCCCCAAAGAAAAAGAAGCTGTTAAGAGTATTTGATTAATCACCAGAAGGGAGCACTTTATTTTCACTGATTTTGATAGACTGTTTTGTTCAAGAAGAAAGCTTCCAAATAAAAACCCCAGCAAAGGTAAAACCATTTTAATTGAAAGTAAATCAAGATGGTTCCTGTTTGTCCTGTGTCCTGGTACCCAGAAGCATTTATCTACTGCTGCGCAGAGAACTCTGCCATGCCAGCACGTGCCACCCCAGAGGGTGAACTTTCTGGGCCCTGTGCTGTATGCTGTTTGTCAAGCAGGACTCTGCCCCCCCCAGGCTAGAGAGAGGTATTCTGGAGTCTATATGGCATGTGCTAAGAAGGAAATGCCACTTACTACAAAGCAATACTGGACATTCTTAATTATTAGTTTCCATTCATATCAGAGACCTAAATGTGAATTGGGTTCCAGGGGAGAAAGGAGATAGAGTGACAAGGAAATACTTGAATAATTGTAGATGAGGAGCTAGGAATGGCCATGATCAAGAGGTGTCAGTTGGACTCAGTAAGCAAGAAGCTGGATCTAGGGATCTGCAGGAGGACTTGCACTGGGGGCCGCCAGCAGAGGCAGCTGATCCATTAGAGTGACCTTTGTAACAGGAACCTTTTCTACCAGAGAGCTTTTGTCTTTGGGCATTCTAACTGGCCTGTAATTCTGATGGCCACAGACCTGATGTCTGTGTGGTGCTTTGCCTGTTCAAGTGCCCAAGCCCACTGCACTTTCCTGTGAGGTATGTCATGGTCCCTTGGTGTGCTTTCTGCAGTTTCACTGAGGAGAGCACCGCTGTGATGCTTGGTTGTGCTAAAATCCCACACACTCCAACGCCAAGAAACCTCTCGGGTTTTAGCAGAGGTTTCTGTTTTTTAAGGCAACGATAAATATTTATGATGCTTTTTTCCCATCTTCTCTTTCCCAAGGGAAGTTAGCTAGACTGTAGCAAACAGCATTATCAATGGTATCCAGCCTGGAATTCGGGAGGAGAGCTCTGCTGAAAGGCACTGGCTGGCCCTCACACTTATTTTGAGGCATAACTATAAATATCTTTTATCTTCCCTGAGTATTCTTAGTATTTCCAATTAGGAACTGACCTCTAGAAAACCTGTGCCTTTGACTCCTGGAACAGACCTAGGTTACGGCGGAGGGCACCGGTGAAAGAAGTATTGCTCTGTACCGTTAGCCTGAGTCTGTTTTCCTTACCAGCTTTTCCCCTGAGTTGCAGGGTTGGCCTTGGCACTTTAGATTTGGACTGGTTGAACTGTTCTTACAGTCACTTTTAATTTAAAATAGTACCCTGCCCAGGCTACATGTGTCTGCTGGTGTGAGGGGCACAGATCGGGTTCTGGTGGAAGGCAGGGCAGGGATCCAAAAAGAAACAGGAGTTCAGTGCCCTCGCCTTGGGTTCAGGATACAAGAGCAATAACCTCTTAACTTTGCAAATGCCTTCATCCACATTTGTTATGTCATTTCTTTTCCTGGGGCTGTTCCTGATTGCCTGCCTTTCTAGTCGATGCCATTCTCATCATCAATCCCCTGCCTTCCTTAGTGCCCCTTTGTAGATTAATCATAATCCCTGATGCATGACATCCTTTGTCCTACTTGGTCCATGCATGGCCCTCTTTTCTTTCGGTGTTTTATCCATCCATCCACGTATTCATTCTTAATAAATGAGTATCTACCAGCCTGACATCCAACAAGACCTGGCCCACTATAGCAACTTTCAGGTATCCACGTGCTCCTCCTCTATCCTGTCACTTTGACTTTCTCCCCTCAGGTAGCTGCTGTTTTGATTTTATGTTGATCATTCCTTTGCTTTTTCTGAAAATAGTTTGATCACGGGTATATGATTGCTAAACCATGTTTTCTTTACTTGTGACTGTTTTTGCACTTTATAAAACAAACAACAGATAAGAGTAGCACACCGTATGTAGCCTTTTGAGCCTTGTTCTTTCCAGCATCATGCTACCAGGATTGCTCTGTGCTGTGCATGGTCGTGGTCCTGGTGGGGATTGCTGTGTAGAGCTCTGTTGGGAAAGTGTACCACAATGTAGCTATCTTCCTGGTGGTGGGCTTTTGGATTATTTCCAGATTTTGTTTTCTTTCATAAACAATGTTGCTCTGAACATCCTGGGGCATATACTTAGGACTGGAAGTGCTGGTTATTAGGAGTGATTTGGCAGATACTGCCAAATTGTTTTCATACATACTTGTGCCAATTTACATTCCCCCCAGCAGTTTGGTTATTTTTTAGAATGATATCTTTTTTTTTTTTTTACATTTTTTTTGATGCAGACCATTTTTAAAGTCCTTCATTGAATTTTTACAATATTGCTTCTGTTTTATGTTTTGGTTTTTTGGCCACGAGGCATGTGGCATCTTAGCTCCCCGAACAGGGATCGAAACTGGCACCCCCTGCATTGGAAGGCGAAGTCTTAACCACCGGACCGCCAGGGAAGTCCCTCCCCCCAGCAGTTTATGAGACATCCCATTAATCCACATTCTTTCCCATTGTCAGAAATGTTTATCATCAGTGCTTCTCATTCTCTTTTTATCCTTTCCTCTCACCCTTGTTTTAGTTGGAGAGCACAGTGCAGCTCCATCAGTGTGCCCAGTCGGACTAGTAGGCAGAAACTTAAGGCTGTCATGACAAGCCTCTCTTCTGAGCTTGCATAACGAATGGCTCCAGTACAAACAGCAAATCAGTTCAGGTTCTGGTGCCAGTAGTACAGAGTTTAATAATGTACTAGACTAAATCTCCCACAGATAAAAACTATAAACTCTGGGGAAAATATTTTTTTAAATTATTTGAAGGTACTGGAGAGCAACCCAAAAAGCAGATTAAAACTGGCGGGGATTCAACCCTTGAAAAAGGAAACCACATTGGGTAATCTTCTAACTTTTCCATGAGGGCTCTCATGTAAGGGGTGGAAGGGGGGTTGAGTGGGTGGAGGGGTGAGGGGGTGAGGGGGTGGCCAGAGCTCAAGGCACAATCTGATTGACTTGAGGTGTCAAAAGACAGAGCTGTGGGCTGCCAGAGGAACCAAAAATAGATGGGGCAAAAGAAACTAATATAAAAAGATAAACCCAAATATATCTACAAGTACATTAATTACAAAAACTAAGTGAAAATCAACTAAATACACTAGTAAAAAAGCAAATATGGGACTTCGCTGGTGGCACAGTTGTTAAGAATCCACCTGCCAATGCAGGAGACACGGGTTCAAGCCCTGGTCCAGGAAGATCCCACATGCCATGGAGCAGCTAAGCCCGTGCACCACAACTACTGAGCTGCGTTCTAGAGCCCGTGAGCCACAACTACTGAGCCTCCATGCCACAACTACTAAAGCCCGTGCGCCTAGAGTCGTGTTCCGCAGCAAGAGAAGCCACTGCAGTGGGAAGCCCGCGCACCACAAAGAAGAGTAGCCCCCACTCACCGCAACTAGAGAAAGCCTGTGCACAGCAACAAAGACCCAGTGCAGCCAAAAATAAATAAATAAACAAGTAAGCAAATATGTCAGACTGGATGAAAAACCAAGACCCACTGTATGTTGTTTTCAAGAGACCGGTTCTAATTATAAAGACACAGATAGGTTAAAAGGAAGGAGAGGGATACGTAATGTAAACAATAAGCACAAGAAAGCTGGTATCACTCTACTAGCAGCAGATGCATTAGGTTTCAAGATAAGGAGTATGACCAGACAAAAAGAGGCACATTTTATAATTATGCAATAGTTCATCAGGAGAAATGCCATTACAAATAGATATATGCCTAATAACAGAGTTCTGAAATACACAAAGCAAAAACTGACAGAAGTAAAAAGAGAAATAGACAAATCCACAGTCACACATAAAACACTTGGAAGTAAATTTTTTAAAAGGTGTATCAGTTTTCCTGGAACTTCCCTGGTGGCACAGTGGTTAAGAATCCGCCTGCCAATGCAGGGGACACGGGTTCGATCCCTGGTCCGGGAAGATCCCACATGCCATGGAGCACCTAAGCCCGTGCGCCACAACTACTGAGCCTGTGCTCTAGAGCCCACAAGCCACGACTACTGAGCCCGTGTGCCACAACTACTGAAGCCTGCACACCTAGAGCCCGTGCTCTGCAACAAGAGAAGCCACCGCAATGAGAAGCCCGCGCACCGAAACAAAGAGTAGCCCCCACTCGCCGCAACTAGAGAAAGCCCGCACACAGCAATGAAGACCCAGTGCAGCCAAAAATAAATAAATAAATAAATTTATTTTTAAAAAAAAAAAAAAAGGTGTATAAGACCTCTACTTGGAAAACTATAAAACATTGGTGAGACAAACTAAAGAAAACTTAAACATATGAAGAAACTATATTTATGAATTGTTGAGATGCCTCGTTCAATGTAATCCTAGTTAAAATCCCAACATGGTTTTCAAAACAGAAACTGACAGGCTGATTCTAAAACTTATATGAAAATGCAGAGGACTTACAGTAGCTAGAACAATTTCGAATAAACAAAAGAAAAAAAAATTCAGACTCCCATATTCTTATGGGAAGCAGAGGGGCAATGGTCCATCATCTGTAACTGCTTCAAGGCTGAGTAGGGGCCTGTCAGGAAGTAAAAGTCTCTGGATGCCTGATCTAGGGGCCCCAGGGGTAGGACAGCTCCTTGTTTTAAGTTGGTATGTGCTGGAATCCTCGCATAGCCATCATCTTGATGTGGAACTGTTGTAACGGTTTCCATAGCCTTTCCATGAATCTCCTTGATGATGAAGCACTTTTTGTAACAGCATCAGAGTACAAAAATATCTGTAAATGACAAAAGACTTAAAAGGCATGGTTAAACATCTGATTATATTTAATTTAACATACGAAATAATCCTCATTAAATATTTCTCTTTGAGATACCTCAGGGGCCCTCTAAGGTATCCCAAAGTTAGCTGGAAATCAAAAGAACTTTAATTAAAATTTGATATTTTAGGAAGTTTGTCAAAAAGTTTTAAAACACTTGGTCAAATAAGATCATAGGTCACTGTGAGACAATACTTATTCCTTAACCAAAGTGACAATAAAAGATTTCAAAGGCAAAAAAAAAAAAAAAATCAGAGGATTCAAACTACCTGATTTCAAGACTTTAAGCTATAGTAATCAAGACCAAGACAGTGAGGTATTGGCAAAAGGATAGATCAGTGGAACAGAATAGTGTCTAGAAATAGATCCATACATATATTAATATGTAGTCAACTGATTTTTGACAGAGATGCCAGGATGATCAATGGGGAAAGGAAAGTTTTCAACAAATAGCACTGAAACAAGTGGATATCCAGGTAGGAAAAAATGAACCTCTACCTCACAAACACAAAAATTAATTTGAGATGGATCATAGACTTCAAAATAAATGCTAAAGCCATAAAGCTCCTAGAAGAAAATGAAAAGAATATCATTTTTGACATTGGGATAATCTGAGATTTCTTAGAAGGAATGCAGAAAAGCACTAGCAATATGAGAAAAATGGATAAATTAGACTTTATCCGAATTTAAAACTTCTGGTGTTTGTAGACGTCCTTAAGAAAATGAAAAAGCAATCCACCAGCAGGTAAAAAATATTTTCAATACATATATCTGACAGGGGACTTATATCCAGAATATATAAAGATCTCTTACAACTCAAGAACATAAGAAACAACTCAGTTTTAAAAATGGACAAAAGACTTGAATACACACTTCAAAAAATATGTATAAGTTGGCAGTAAACACATCAGGAAAATGAATAGTAAAGTCATAATAAGGTAATATTTCACACCCACTAATATTGCTAAAATTAATAAGATTGACAATACCAAAAGTTGACAAGTATGTGGAGCAACTGAAATTCTCATAAATTGTGATGGGAGTGTGAAGTGGTACAACCACTTTGAAAAATTACATGGTAGTTTCTTAGAAAGTTAAACAAGCATCTACTCTATGACCTACTAATTCCATTCCTATGGTATTTACCCAAGAGAAATGATAGCACATATCCACAAAAAGACATAAATGTGAATGTTAACTGCAGCTTTATTCATAACAGCCCCAAACTGGAAACAACCCAAGTGCCCATCAATGGGAGAATAAATAAACAGATTATAGTATATTCATACAATGACTACTTCAGAGCAATTTTTTCAAAAATGAACTCCGCATACACAATAGCATGGATGAATTGCAAAAGAACATGTTGAGCCAAAGAAGCCAGACACACAAAAATACATCCTCTTATGATTCTATTTGTGTGAAATTCAAGAAAATACAAAACTACTCTGTCTTGTTGAAATAAAATATTGGTTGCCGGGATGGGGTGGAGGGATTGACTATAACAGCCACAAGGGAACTTTCTGGGGTGATCGAAATGTTCTGTGTCTTGGGCTTCCCCGGTGGCGCAGTGGTTGAGAGTCCGCCTGCCAATGCAGGGGACACGGGTTCGTGCCCTGGTCCAGGAAGATCCCACATGCCGCGGAGCAGCTGGGCCCGTGAGCCGTGGCCGCTGAGCCTGCGCGTCCAGAGCCTGTGCTCTGCAACGGGAGAGGCCACAACAGTGAGAGGCCCACGTACCGCAAAAAAATAAAAAAAAATAAATGTTCTGTGTCTTGATTGGAGTGATGGTCACATTGGATTTACACATTTACCAAAAGTCATTAAATTGTACACTTAAAGCCCTTGTACTTCACTGCTTATAGATTTTACCTCAACTTTTTACAAAAGTACTTCAAAACTTCTGTGCCTTCTGAGGGCATAGATAGGATAGCGCTTTGGCCCTCAAAGTATTGTGAGCACCATTGTTGTTTTATGCTTTTTTGATTATAAAAAAACCATCTCACAACTGCCTTAGAAACTGTCACTTAAATAGAAGATTTATGTATATAATTGAGTTCATGTGAGGCGAAGAACTGATATAAAGACATCAGGAGTATAACTTTATTTTTCTTAAGTCCTAGAAGGTGACTTTAAAAAGGTTTAATCTTTTTGGAACATATTTACAAGATTATTAGGAGAATTTTTTTTTTTTTTTTTTTAAAGCATGCAAGGAAACATTCTGACCACATAAAATAGAGGGTCTTTTTGGGGCAGAGGATGCAAGAATTTGTATTTTCTTAATACCCTTTCCAATGCTAATGTTCAAATGGTTTTGAATTTTTGATTCTATTGTAGCTGAAGTTTGCATTCAAGACCTACTTTCCTTATGCTTCTCCGTCTCTTGTCATGGTGCTACTCCAACACCCGAAAGGTATGTGAAGGTTGATTCTGCCCATATTAAAATAACTTCTGGGATACACTGATTAAATTATAACTGTTTCCTCCCAGTTCCTTCTCTGTAAAGGGAATTGGTCATTGCTTACATCCTTTAAGCTCTCAGGGTCTCAAATTCTGTGGATTTTGATGTGAGAATTTGCTTGACTTCCCAGTTACAATCATTTACCAAAAGAAAGAAAAAAGAACAAAATGGCCTCTAGTTGGGTTTTGATAGTCTGTTCTGGATAACACAAGGCTTCTGCTCGTGCCAGCCAGATCTACCTGGATGCCAGGAACAGGCTAAAACTTGGCTGATTTGGAATAAAACAGTATGTTTATTTGTATTTCATTCTTTCTACTCTGTGCCCCCTGTTGCAAAAGAAAAGATAAAATGATGAATGAAGCCAAGGAAGTTTAGTGGAAATTTCTCCTAACCAAGCCAAGGGAAGCCTTTTGAAAGAATTCAGTAAGTGTATTAGACCACAGCCCTCTCTGATTTCATTTGCCAACCTTCCAGAGGCCATATCCAGTTGGGGAAGTGATGATTCTGCCCTGATTCCACTGATGTTGATCTGTTAACATGCCTGTGAGCTCCTGTTTAGGAAACATTTCAGAAATAGAGAATATAGACATCCTTCCCATCTAAAGCCTGAAATCTGAAGCAGAGGCAACACTGACACAAGACAGACTCTGTGCCGTAGAAAAAGGCATTCATCTGACCATGGAAGGAAAGAGGAGAGAAAAGAGTAAAAGAATCCATAATATTTCCTTTTTATGCCGTTTTTTTCCCTGGCTTTTTCCTGAGACTTGAGTAGGTAAATTCATTTGAGGAAAGTATGATTCGAGGTTTCAGAGCATTTTACAAAATCAAAGTTCCTCTTCCTTGTTCTAAAAGATTAGGTTCTCACCCAAAGTGACCCATTTGATGCTGTCCTCTCAAATGCTAGAGGTGGAGGTGGTGACAGGCCTGGTGGGATCTCTAGTCAACCGTTTTATGGAACTTAACCTGTGGGGACACAATGGGAAAACTTTAATAACAAGACAGAAAAGTCAGTAATTCACTTTCCAGGGCCACGTCTCACAGCCTAAGTCAGATGAGCAAAGCCTAAGGTCAGCCTATGTGAGCAACTGAATGAGCTCCAGAAAAGTACTGGGGTTGTTATTTTTTTAATTTGGAAATCTATAAACAAAAGACTACCTCTGCTAGTTCCTAGAACAGTTTTCTGCATGTTACATTCGGAAAAATAATGTTACATTCACAAATTGAAGTGTTTTTTAACAGTAGAATCTTCTATTCATCAGAAATTGATTTTGTGCCCACTGTAAAGTCTTGTAGGCATAAAAGATGGGTCACTTATGAGCCCTGACTATCCAGGAACTACAAGTAAAGAAGACATAAAATACATATCTAAACAACTAATAAAAAGAAGAAAACAAAAATGCCTTCAAAGCCTGCAAATCAAGAGTTACGGAAGTTCAGAAGAGGGAGAGAGATAATTTATGATTCTTTAACATTTGTGGGGTAGTAGTGGTTATTGTATCACTTACATTATCTTTCTCGTGTATTTAATTACAGAACCTGTCACTACATGGAAATGTGGTAGCCTTTTTCAGATGTTGTTTAGAACTACAGATACATGCTCAGAAGTGTTTAAGACCATGGGAAAATTGTGAAACCAGAAAAACTAACTAAAGAAAAGACATTTGTCTGTATGATACCCATGTATTTTTTTCTGACCTTTTTTTTAAAAAAAAACTATACACCTGATATCTTATTCTAAATTCATCACAATCGTAGAAAAACAGTTGGGCAGCCCATTCCTAATTCCTTGTTGATTATTTTATTATAATCTCCATGTATGTTGAAATCACAGATTACTAGTGATATAGAGGAGGGGGTAGGTGAGTAGAAAAGAAAAAAACCTGGGGCATCTTCCATATAGCCTTTGTAAACCCTACGGTGGGCTGCCTGTGCAGTCTCTGTCCAGTCCCATGTACCCGAGTTAAAGAGCCTTTGAGTTTAGCTCTGTGTAACACTGACAGATCTTTCTTCCCAGGCCAGAGACATAGATTCTGGCTGGGATCAGCATGAGAGCAGTGGTACCGATTCTGTGGACCAGGAAAATTAAGGCCTTTCCTCCAAAAGGCCTCTTCTGGTCTTAGCTGTAGATGATTCCTAATAGGTTTGACTTTTCTTCAGCTCCTCTCTGATGGCTCTCTCCACCCACAGATATCCCACGGGGACTTTGGCACCAGGCACTGAAACATATCTCTGAAATGCTCAAAGAAGTAGTTGAAGACCAAACTCATGGGTAAGCAAACACTGATGACTCGTAGGTCTATTTCACACGCGTTTGCTCTGGATCCTTATCTTCCCTTTGAGCAGGCCTGACAGGGGAAGGCATTACAAGCATACCTCAGAGATATTGCAGGCTTCATTCCAGACCACAGCAATAAAGTGAGTCACATGACTTTTTTGGTTTCCCAGTGCATATAGAAGTTATGTTTACACTGTTCTGCAGTCTATTTAGTGTTCAATAGCATTATGTCTAGAAAAAACAATGCACATACCTTAATTTAAAAATACTTTATTACTAAAAATTGCTAACCATTGTCCGAGCCTTCAGTGAGTCATAATCTTTTTGCTGGTAGAGGATCTTGCCTCAACGTTGATGCTGCTGACTGATCATGGTGGTGGTTGCTATAGGCTGGGGTGGCTGTGGAAGTTTCTTAAAATAAGACAATATGAAGTTTATCAGATCAGTTGACTCTTCCTTTCACAAACGATTTCTCTGTAGCATGCAATGCTGTTTGATAGCATTTTACCCACAGCAGAACTGCTTTCAAAATTGGAGTCATTCCTTTCAAACCCTGTCACTGCTTTATCAACTAAGTTTATGTAATACTCTAAACCCTGTGTTGTCATTTCAACAGTCTCACAGCAGCTTCACCAGGAGTAGGTTTCGTCTCAAGAAACTACTTTCTTTGTTGATCCATAAGAAGCAACTCCTCGTCCATTAAAATTTTATCATGAGATTGCAGCAATTCAGTCACATCTTCAGGCTCCACTTCTAACTCTAGTTCTCTTGCTGTTTCTGCCACATCTGCATTTTACTTCCTCCACTGAAGTCTTGAACCCCTCAAAGTCATCCATGAGGATTGGAATCAACTTCTTCCAAACTCCTGTTAATGTTGATATTTTGACCTCTTCCCATGAGTCACAAATGTGCTTAATGGCATCTAGAATGGTGAATCCTTTCCAGAAGATTTTCAGTTTACTTTGCCCAGATCCCTCAGAGGAACGTATTTCTTAAATAGTAAGAGTTGAAAGTCGCAATGACTCTTTGATTCATGGGCTGCAGAATGGCTGTTGTGTTAGCAGGCATGAAAACAACATTAATCTCACTGTACATCTCCATCAGAGCTCTTGGGTGAACAGGTGCATTGTCAATGAGCAGTAATATTTTGAAAGGAATTTTTTTTCTGAGCAGTAGATCTCAGCGGTGGGCATAAAATATTCAGTAAAATGTATTGTAAACAGATGTGCTGTCATCCAGCCTTTGTTGTTCTATTAATAGAGCACAGGCAGAGTAGATGTTTTAAAGGGCCCTAAGATTTTCAGAATGGTAAATAAGAATTGACTTCAACCTAAAGTCACCAACTACATTTGTCCCTAACAAGAGAGTTGGTCTGTCTTTTGAAGCTTTGAAGCCAGGCGTTGACTTCTCCTCTCCAGCTATGAAAGTCCTAGATGGCATCTTCTTCCAATATAAAGCTATTTCGTCTACATTGAAAATCTGTTGTTTAATGTAGCCACCTTCATTAATTATCTTGCTAGATCTTCCAGATAACTTGCTGCAGCTTCTACACCAGCACTTGCTGCTTCACCTTTCACTTTTACATATGGAGATGGTTTCTTTCCTTAAACCTCATGAGCCAACCTGTGCTAGCTTCAGACTTTTCTTCTGTAGCTTCCTTACCTCTCTCAGCCCTTATAGAATTGAAGAGAGTTAGGGCCTTGATCTGGACTAGGCTTTGGCTTAAGAGAATGTTGTGGCTTGTTTGATCTTCTATCCAGACCACTACAACTTTCTTCATATCAGCAATGACTGTTTTGCTTTCTTATCGTTCATGTGTTCACTGTAGTAGCACTTTTAATTCCCTTCAAGAACATTTCCTTTGCATTCACACCTTGGCTAACTGTTTGGTGCAAGAAGCTTAGCTTTCAGCGCATCTCAGCTTTAGACGTGCCTTCCTCACCAAGCTTTATAATTTCTAGCTTCTGATTTAAAGTAAGAGACGTGCCACTCTCCCTTTCACTTGAACAGTTAGAGGCCATTGTAGGGTTATTAACTGGCCTAATTTCAATATTGTTGTGTCTCCTACAGAGGCCCAAGGAGAAGGAGAGAAAACGGACAATTGGTAGGGCAGTCAGAACACACACATTTATTCATTAAGTTCATCATCGTATATTGGCACAGTTCATGGCACCCCAGAACAATTACAATAGTAACAAGGAACATCACTGATCACAGATCACCATGACAAATATAATGGAAAAGTTTGAAATATTGTGAGAATCACCTAATTGTACACAGACAGGAAGCGAGCAAATGCTGTTGGAAAAATGAAGCCAATAGACTTGCTCGACGCAGGGTTGCCACGACCTTCAGTCTGTGGAAAAAAAACAATTACCTGTGAAGTGCAGTAAAATGAGGTATGGCTGTATTGGTCTGTTTCCATCCCCAAACAGGTAAGCACACTGCTGAGTAAGAAGTGGAGGAAGCACTTTGAGCAGCTCAGAATAAATAGGCTGCATGTGTAAATACCTGGCATAGCAACTGTTCTGAGTAATGGCTAGTGTTAGGCTTTGAAATGTACCAGCATAACAATAAAAATAATGGACCTTAGGAAAAAAGCAGTGCTCACATGCTGCAGCCCCTGGCCTGCAGAAGGAGAAGGGCGCCTCTCTGGGCCCTTCTCTACCTCTCTAGGGAAGGAAATTCTAAACTTCTCCTGCACAGTAGGATGAAGTGTTTCTTTTCCTCCTTCTTGTAATAAATATTTGTCTAAAATTAGAAAATCCATTCTAACATAATTTCTAACACTATGATATTAGGTACCCTCTTATATGTGTTATTTCCCTAGAAGCATTCACATTTAGGCTTTGCTAAGTTCTTTGTAACATAGTACCCTTCGACTTCCTCTTAACTTCTTTGCTTTTAGAGTGTACATGTTTCATTCATTGTCTGTACTAGCCTACTAATACTGTCTTTATTTGTTGCCACTTTTCCTTCTTGAAACTCTCTATAATCTCATTACTGAGCCATCACGTATCATGGCTGGTGCTCTTCTGTTCATCATCACTGATGCAGGTTTGGGGGCCAGTTACTCACTTACACAGCCTCCCTCCCCGACCCTGCCCCCAAACTCTTACCAGTAGAGGAGACAGACAGAACTGTCAGCCAAGTGGGGATCAGAGGATTGGCCATATTAACGACCTGCCATACCCTGGCAGCCCCATACACACCCCTTCTGGTTGTCTCTGTTGAAGAGCAGGGCCTAGACCCCAAACCTCTTAGGGCTCCTGCCTAACCCAGATCTGCCTCAACTAGGCTTCAGGGCCACCTGCGGGGAGGGCTCTGTGAGCAGCTTTAGGCACCTTCTCAGCCAGCCCCATGGGACTGCATTGCACACTCGGCTGCTAGAGGAAGAGAGGCAGAATGACCAGGCCTTGAGCCGTGATCCAGGAGGGATGCCCATGTGGGGGCAGCGAGCATGGGGGAGCCCGTGCTCAGCTCACTCGTCCGTGAGGCCTGCAGGAAGGAGACCCCGTGGAGCTGGTTCCTTGCTTCTGAGACATAACCCAGCCCACTGCTCATGTGGCCCCTGGAGCATCAGCTCTCCCTCTTGTGGGGACAAGGGAGTAAGACTAATGCTCCTCCTTCTTCCTTTTCTGTCACTGTTTTGCAAGTTAGATTTCAGAACATTTAATCACTTGTTTTCGGGGAAGACTTGAACAGGAGGAGAGCAGTGACTAGGAGAGGTGGGAACGGCGCTGGCTTGGGGATTCCACGGGCCAAGCAGGGGACCACGCACCCAGATCCAGCAAAGACGGAGCGCTGCAGAGGGGCTCAGAGCTTTCCTGTTCTAGGAGCTTCCCCAGTTCAGAAGGAAAGTTCTGCTCTATGTTAATCTCAGGCCAGTCTTGCTCCATTTCTCCCAGGGGAGATGTTAAACTGCTAGGACTGTCACTATGCAAAATTAGTGGGTCCTTACCTTAAGCAGAGTCTACCCTTTATTGCAACTCCCGGTTCCCTGTGTGACAAAAGGATAGCTTCACAAAAGCTTTAACTTTTCAGCATTGATGTATACTTGATGACAGGAAAGAGTACAGTATACAGCTCCTTAAAAATTCATAATTGCCAAAATACTGACCAGAATCTTTTGTCTTGTGAGAAAAGGAATGGCACGTGTTTCGGCCTGTGTCCCTTCTCTGGTCTCCGTCTGGACCCCAGGGAGCCCCCTCGTCTCTTGCTTGGGGCTACCTGGGTGGCTGCCTGGTGGCTGAGGGGCCCCACTCTCCACAGCAGCCCAGCTGTGCAGGCCACGCAGAAGGCAGAGCGGTGGGCCTGCAGGTTCTCATCTTGCATCGTTCTTGATGATCATGGGCCAAAACCTTCCTTTCTCGAAGGCCTGTTTTCACTCAGTGTCCCTGGATGACCTTGATTGATTTAAAGATTTAAACGTCTGAGGTCCTCAGGGCACATGAGGTTTTGAGAGGCACGCCATTGAAAGTCCTGTGACAGGTTCAGGGCAGCACTGTGAGCTCTCTTTCTGAGGCTAACTCGTATTCCTTGCAAATTGTACTTCAGTGGATAAGAACAATTGAAGCCAACCATTCACAAACATAAGTTGCTTTAAGAACCTAAAGGAAAAAGAAATAAAGTTGCCCGGCTGCCATGTGTTTTGGTTCTGTTCCAGGTCCTACGGAGGCCCCTTTGAGAGCTGGTTTTTGTTTGTTCACTTTGGAGGATGGGCTGATATGGCGGCTGAGCAGTTACTGACGTCGGAAGCTGAGGCTGAAGCTCCAGAGGCCCTGCTGTGGCTCCTGGCTTTCAGCTGCGGTCCAGGAGCTGGGCATCAGCAGAGAGCACAGACCATGGTGGGTGGCCAGGCCTATGGTGTGCGGCCTCAGGATCAGTCTCTCAGGGGCTGGAAGGGGCCCTGCAGTGGGTTTGGCTTTCACTGACCCCCAGGCACCTCAGCAGGTACATGCAGACATCCGCCTGGACGAGTGAGTGGGAGCTGGGCCTGTGGTCGAGGTGTTTTCCTGCCCTCAGGAGTGGACTGGAGGCCAGGCGCTGCCTGCTGTCCTGGGAGGCACCGAGGAGATGAGGTGCAGCCCTTCCATCCCTGGGTCATTTTATCTCTTCTTGGTCACTGCCACTCTGTCATGCTTCACAGGCGTGCCTGGCCCTGGGGCTGCTCCCTCCAGGGGATGCCATGCAGGGTCTGACCGCTCTTCTGAGGAGCATCGTCCTCTTTCTGATCAGTGGCCTGGCACTGTCTGCTTCCGTCTTGACTTAACTCCTTTCTTGGATCAGTCAATAGATCCTCACAGAACCGGCTTTGTTTAGAACTCTTAGAAAAGTAATCACATGATATTAACCACTTAGTTTCTGAAAAAGGACTTGGTCATTTCCTAAATAACAGAGCAGCAAAGTACAGGAGTGGCTAGCTGTCTGTGGCAAAGACAGTTGTTATTTTGCGTGGAATATAATATTAACAGGAGCAATGTTTTGATTAAAGGCATTTGCGCCTTCCTTACAAACATTTATTTGCTGGTTTTTAAAAGTTCAACTGCCAGCGCTTTTTGCTGATTTTAACAATTAAAGGGAGCAGGTTTCTTTACGTAGAGAGCAGTGCTCCTATTTGCTTGATGGTTTCTGTTTGAACAAAACAGAGACTAGTTCAGATATGGCTGTATATTTCACTTGTTTAAAAGCACGTTATATGGCAGGAGAAAGAAAAGAGTTGGGATTTTAAAAAGCTGAAATTTGGTGATGATTTTGGATCAAAAATAGAACATTTTTTTTTTTTTTTTAGAAATTAACATGTATCTCAGAATTGCTATCTGATTAAAAAGAAAGCCTATTTTTTCCCTTTTAAAATATCACATTAAACTAATTGAAGAGAATCCTAATTTTTCATTATCTTAATTTTAATAATAATTAAAATGTATGAAGCACTAATGATTTCTGAAGCCTTTTTATATACTTTATATTTGATTCTGTATAAGCTAAATTGGTAGGTTATATGTTAAATTCCAAATCGATCATAGAAGCTGACAGATTACTTTTGAAGCGTAGAGAAATAAATTGTCCAATAAGGTTTATTTTCTAGAGAGTTCTGCATTGGCCTATCTTTCTACTAGTTAAGTTAGTTGGTCCTTTTTTTTTAATAAAACGTATGCCTAGTTCTTACTCAGGGGGTGCTTTGGCAGCCTGGATAGAAACAGATTAGCTCACTCAGTAGTTTAGTGCCAGTACATCTGTTTCCTTCCTCTTCCCTCTCGGTGCTCAACCTGAGGCACCAGTTCGTGCGGCATCCCGGGGAGCAAATGGGGCCCAGTTTTCCTAGTTTAACTAGTAGTGCATACTTCTCGCTCTCCTGACCTTTGATGGTCTGTTGGATGACTTGACAAACCGTGAACTGTCTTTGAAAGCATGATTATTGTAAGATTTGACTGAGCTTGACAATATCTGTGCCTTTGCCTTGAAAGGCATAATTACATCACGGTACCGGACTGTACGCAGCGGTGTTCTGTGGCTGGAACCGTCACCTCTGCTGGGCAGCCTTGAGGTGCAGGATTGGGAGGGGGTGGGGCAAAGAGCAGCCGTTCCTGCCTGAGACGCGTACGGCCGGCTCAGAGACCGCTCCACTCTGCAAACCATGTTCTCTGCCAGCCAGTGTTCATCTCCTTTTGCTGACTTTGAATTAAATCATGATAAAAAAACAACTATGTTTGTATACTCTTAAGAATTAGGTGAGGGTTCATACTCTTTAACCCTGTCATTCTACTTCTAGGAATTATCCTAAGGAAGTAGTTAGAGAGCCATATGAAGATTTATGTACGAGATCATTGCAGCATTGTTTGTAACTGCAATAACTGAAAATGGCCTACATTTCAATAGTAAGGATATCGGCTAAATAAATTGTGGTGTATTACAACCACAGAATAGCATTCTACCATGAAAAATCATGTTATCAAAGAAAATGTGCTATAGATAATGGTAAATTGCTTATAGTGAACTGTGAAAACTAGAATACCTTATGTATAGTGAGTGCTGTGTTCACAATGCATAGAAAAAAGATGATAAGGATGTAAACCTCACTTCCAACGAGTCTCTTTGGCTAGTGGAGTTATAGTCATTTTGATTCTTTTTCTTTTTACTTTTTCAAATGTTTTACAGTGAGCATATATAAATTTTCATAATGCAGGATAAAAATTAATACTTAGAAAAGAAAGCTTATATTTTTCTCCTGAAAAGATTTTTAGAAAGCATTGAAGTTTTGGGCATGTGAGGAAGGTATTTGAAGGGAAAGACGGCCTGGAGTGAAAGAGAAAGGAAGAAGACAAGCCTCAGGGAATATTGGACGAGAGGAGAAAAATCAAACGCCAGTCAGGAAGAAAATGGATACAGAGGCATTGCTTCCTAAGCCCTGACATTTTTGCAGACCTACCTAGACGCAGGACAGCCGTGGGCCCCCGTAGACGCTGTCAGACGAGGGCAGGCTGGTCCTGGGCAAGAGAAGAGGGGGTGAGGGACACCGCCCTCCTGCATGTATGCAAAAACAACCCACAGACCTATAACAGCCACTATTACTATGTGGATTCCACAGACTTGTGACCTCTGCTTGAGCTTTAAACATGTATGAACAGTGTCCCAGTGTCTAAACCAAACCAGTGTGGTACGTGTACGTGTGTGTGTGTGTGTGCGCGTGTGTGCGCACGCACGCGCTTCCTCCCCGCCGAAGGTGGCGAAAAGGCCAACCTCCTTCTTAGCAGCACGTTGGCTCAGCGGAGGTCCGAGCACTGGGCTTGAATTGACCTGTGGCTGTGATGGTGAGCAAGTCTTCAAGGAGCCTTTTGTTCTTTTTCCCACAATATAAAAACCTGACTACATTCTGCTGAGGACTTTTCTCCATTTCCTTTCATACAAAAAAAGGTCGATTCCTGGCATGATGCCCTGGCTGCTTAGTGAGCAGGACGAAAGAAAGTCAAGACATTTCCATTATGCGCATTTGGGTTTGTGTGGAGCAGCGTGTAAACTCTGACATGGTCCGCCCCACCTGCCCTCCCTCGGGCGCCAGTCCTCTCCCGTTTCTGGGGTTTGCTTCAAAGAACTGAGTCATCCTACCACCTGCGTGTCCCGACTCTTCCCTAATCTCTTCCCTTTGAAATTATACTTCCCAGGTGGAGGTGAAGGCCGTGCTCCGCTGCCTCACGAAGCTGCTCAGGAGTCCAGCCCTCTCGGCCAGGGATCTGCAGGCAGCAGCTGGCGAGGGCGGGCAGGGAGCTCCCAGACCGCCTGCCTGTCAGCAGCTGATCAGGCGCCTCGTCCTGAGCTTCCTGCTCTGGGCTCCCGGAGGCCACGCGATTGCCCGGGAAGTCATCACGCTCGTAAGTCTCCCCTTTTCTGGCATCCTGGTTCTCATTCTCATCCCAGGGAAAAGGTGGGTTATCACCCAAGGACCCAGCCTTTGAAGAGTGTGGGTACCAAGACGCTGTCCAAACGTGGCTGGACAGGCCGGGAGGGGACAGCTGGGCCAGACCCAGAGCCTGCCCTATGCGACACCTGCGTGGCACAGGAGAGGGAAGGGAGGCTCAGACAAGGGAGCGGACTTCTCCCAGGTCACACAGCTCACTGCCAGGGCCCACCGTGAAAGCTCACCTCCTGTCTCCCCAGGCTGTCGTCTTTCAGTTACAGTTCATGACTCTTCCTCCTCGTGAAGAGAAACAAGCCTTCAGTGAGAATATGGTCACTGCAGTGGCTCAGAGAATTTCATGTGTTAATTTTTTTTAAAGTCTGCTAATTACAAAGAGCTCCTTCTGGAAGCCCAGCTGACCTGAGGGGTTCTTTACGGTCCAAGTCAAACGTGGCACCGCTTATGGCATGGGACTCAGCAATGATTACTTGAATAATGACACTAAAAGCACAGGCAACGAAAGAAAAAATACATTGGATTTCATCAAAATAAAAAGCTTTGCAAATCAAAGGACACTATCTAGAAGGTGAAAAGACAAATCTTGAAATGGGAGGAAAATTTCGAATTTATACTTGGAAATATTTGGAAATCACGTATCTGATAGGGGTTTAATGTTTAGTGTTTAGACTATAAAAGGAATTTGTACAGCTCAACAACAGTAAAACAACCCAGTTCAAAAACTGGCAGTGAATTTAGACATCTCTCCAAAGAAGATGTACAAATGGCCAATAAGCATATGAATAAAATGTTCAACATCGTTAGCTCTTAGGGAAATGCAATCAAAACCACAATGAGGTACCACTCCATAACCACTAGGACATATACTATAAACCAAGCCAAACAAAATGGAAAACAAGACAGAAAGTAGAATAGAGGTTTTTAGGGGCTGGGGAGTGGTGCAGAGTTCCTGTTTGGGATAATGAAAAAGTTTTGGAAATGGATAGCAGTGGTGGTTGTACAGCATTGTGAATGTACTTGATGCCACTGAATTGTACATATAAAAATGATTAAAATAGCAAATTTTATGTTATGAGCTCATCTCAAAAAAAACCCAAAAAAACCCAAAAAACCACAAGGTGCTGGTTCTTGGAGTTAGGTTTTTTTGTTTTTGTTTTTACTTTTTATTGTCATATAAGGTATATACAGAAAGGTATAGCTTGATGAATTTTTGCAAACCAAAAACACCCATGCAGCCAGCAACCAAATCAAGAAAGGAATGTTCCCAGTACCCAGAGACCCCCTCCCGCTCCCCTCCAGGGCAGGCTCTGTTTGAACGTGAACGTGAAGAAAGTCCCAGTGACCAGTGGGACTGCCAAGAGCCTCAGTAACCAGTGCCCACAAGCTTCTCCTTGCTCCTAGGAGAAAAACATGTGTGGGGTGGGCAGACCACGCAGCCAGCCTGTCAGTCCGCCCTCTCGGGCTCAGACAGAAGACCTCCCAGAGCCTGGGTGTGGCCAAGAGCAGAGGAGGACTTGCTTGTCACCTGCTGGGTGCCATCTCCTCAGGGCCCGCCCCAGCACAATGATCTATCCTGTGCTTTTATAAAGTGCACATCTCACCTCCAAATCCATTTGAGGTGGGGAACTACATAGGTGAGAGTTAAATAATGTCCTCATATCTGTAGAACTTGGTATCAACCAACTTCTTCTCTGGCCAAGTGTAAATTATAATAGTCACTTTTCGGCCACTACCTCAGCCAGGTGATCAAGGTCAGCAGCACGGATAAGTCATGTTGATATGACGCGATGAACATGCACTTTACTTCTGTGGCCTTCCTACCCCAAACTGACAAAAACCCCAGTTGAAGGACATTTGACAAAAATACCTGACCAGTCCTCCTTAAGACTGTCAAGGTCATCAAAAACAGGAAAGTCTGAGAAACTGTCACAGCCAAGAAGAGCCTCAGGAGGGATGATGACTAAATGTAATGTAGTGTCTTGGATGGAATCCTGGAACAGAAGGAGGACATTAGGGAAAAACTGAGGAAAAGTCTGACCTAAAGATAAGGTTAATAAAACATATTAATATCGGTTCATTAATTCTGACAAACGTACTATACTAATGTAAGATGTTAACAGGAAAACTGAGTGTAGGGGATATGGGATTTCTCAGTATTTTCTTTTGGGTCAAACTATAAATCTAAAACTGTTCTAAAATTGAAAGTTATTTTAAAAGTCAAAGGCAGACACTTCTGAATCATGCAGGTGCTGGTGGCATTTTTGTTGCCTGACCTCTGACTTCCTGCCCAGGCCCTGGACACCTGTGGGAGGGGCCTCAGCCCGTGGAGTCTGCTCAGACCCGGCCGCCCCTCCTCCCTGAGTCTGCACCCTCCTGCTCCTCTAGTGTCCTGTCACCCTGGGAGTGGAGAGCAGGCCAAGGAGATCACGGCCGGCCCAGCACGTAGGGTGTGAGAGAATGTAACCCAGAGACAGCTCCTCAGAGACATGCAGGTCTCTGCTTCTGTATTGCAATCACATTTCCCTCCATTCTGGGGAGACAGTCCAGGTTCACAATGGACCGCCCTCAGGTCTCACCCACAGACTGGCTGCTGCGGCTCAGGAGCTGGGTCGTGTCACCAAGCTCAGGGTTGCCGCCGATGCTGGAGCCCTGTCACCACAGGACAGCTCACCTGCAGCCACGCATCAGCACTGCTGGTCTACACCTGAGCCTGGGGCAACCCGGCGCCTTCATTCACGTTCAGAAGTCAGCTCAGCTGCAAAGAAGATTAACTAAAGGATGAGGCTCGGTGTTTTCTCTTCCCGCACCGGCTCCTTAGGAGGCGGGTGCTGGCCTCCCGGGCACCTTGGAGCCCGTCACAGCTGAGAGCGCCTCCTGGGCGCTGTCCTTGCCGATGTTCAGTAACTGTTTCAACTAACAAACATACCGGCCTTCCTAACTCGAAGCTTTCCTGCAGTGGCCAGCCCGGCAAGAGCAGCTACCAACAGGACAGGTGGAAGGGGTCCACCCAGTGCCAGCCCCTCGTGGGCTCCTTGGTGCCTCCCTCTATGAGCAGCCTGGGAAGAGCCCTGGGCCGGGTCTGCTTGGCCAGGAGCAGGTGGACGGCCTTTCTCTTTGAGGGGCTTTGGCATCACCACCCTCAGGACCCTAGCCCTGGCCTGGCTTTGATGTGAACTCAGAGAGGTGGGAGCAGGGCCAGCTTCTGGGCCCGGGTCCTGGTCTTGGCCCTCTTGTCTTGCCCTCAGCTCTGGAGAGCCGTGCTCGCTATAGGCTGTGCGTCTGAGCCCTGTCTCTTTGCGGCCTTCGATCCTCCTCTGAGCTGCCCCTTGTGCCATCGGCTCACCTTCCTCTTTCCTCCTCTCCTGGCCTCACACCCCAACCTCAGCCACAGCACGCTCCCCCACTTCCTCAGGCTCCCTCACGGGCCCCAGGGCTCAGCTTCTGAGTCTCCACTGAATCCCTTCATCGGAGCCCCCGCCCTTCCCACCCCTTGTTCTGCTTCTCTGCCCTGTTCCTGCTTTGCCAGCTCCGCTCTCTCCTCCTTGAGCCTCGATGAGGATGAGGCGCTAGCAGCCTGGCTGGTGCCCGGATTCCTGCTGCCCCTCGTCCTGCCCTGAGTTCACGTTTCTCCCTCCCTCTCCTTCTGTCTTCTGTTGCTGGACCATAGCAGTAACAGCCAAAAGTTAGCCAGAATCTGAAATACAGAGTTCAGTTCTATAATTGTTGAGCTCAAAATGAATTTGACCGCCACAAGGATGCCCTCAGCTGAGCCCTGCAGGACGCGGCTTCCCCTCCCTCAGTGGCAGTGAGGTGGGGTTTGTACGTGACCGGAGACAAAGTGGAACATGGGCATTGAGGTGGCTTGTAAAGAGGGTCAGTGATGGCACCGCTGCCCCGCGTCCGGCTCCGAGGAGCCCCCATGGTCCCTGGGCACTGGAGCGGGAGGCAATCTTCCCCCCACTCGGGTCTGAGGTACTAAATTAACTCTTCTAAGGTGCCCCAGGGAAGCTCGTGTTGTTTCATCCGTAAAGTCATCTACAGCATCTGTGACTTCTGAGTAAAACCAAGAGAGGATTCTGTAGACACCAAGAGCCACGGTGAACCCCACCCAGGCTGGCAGCCTGCCCCCCGACCCCAGCAGAGCCCTCTCAGCTTGGGCCACTGCCAGTAGATGGCCGGGGAGCACCAGTGCTGTCCAGGGGGCCCAGGGCTTCCCCCGCTGCCACTCACTTAGTATCCGTGCTGCAGTGAGAGTCTGCCTTGACTCATGGCCAGGGGTGGCCTGGGATTAAAGGCTGTCCTGGGCCCTAGGAGAGTCCCGGGTGGACCAGGGCGGCTGGTCACCCTACCAGAAGGTCCCAGTGTGGACACAGAGGAGGAGCTGACCTTGGGCTACTCAGGCTACTTAAATATTTGATTCACACATGAAAAACGAACATGTGGTGTTCACTTTGGCAGCACATAGACTAAAATTGGAAGGACACAGAGACGATTCGCATGGCCCCTGTGCAAGGATGACATGCAAATTCGTGAAGCGTTCCACATTTAAAAGAAAAAAGAAATGAATATGTGGACTACTCTCAAAAACAGAGGTTCTCAATATGCTTGTGTCTAAAAAAGATCACAGTAAATTCTCCACGCAGATAAATCGTTAGATTCTTATCCTCCCTTTATGGGTACCAACAGCTAAGGCTGTATTTAGCAGAACTGACAGTTCCTGTGTTTCCTGCTTCCCTTAAGAATCAAGTGCTAAAACCTTAGGTGCCTATTAACAAACAAGTGGGCCTGCCGCTAGCCCAAGAATGCCATTTATAAAGCTGTTTGTGTAAGAACAGGTGGCACTCTCTTTTCAGCGTTTTCCAGTTCTCATAGTAGTTTGAGCCTTTTGCAGGAAGTCAAGCCACAGCATGCTCATTGGCCTCTGCTCCCCACGGCAAATAACCCCAAAGCTTGTGATGGGTGTTCCAAGAAACAGCATTTGTCTGTAGCCGTTGTGGGTCTGAGAGGGCCAGCATTAGGAAATGGCTCTGCTCACTAGATGGCCCACCTCTGAGAACACATTCACTTTGCTAATCACCTTGAAGACAAAACAAGAGCCCTTTGGAGCTGACAGGAATGCAGGTGCTTTTGGGGGACAGGATGGTTACAGCTGGTCCACTGGACGAAGAGATGAATCTGTCTGGAAAGTGTTTTAATTTGCCTTCTCTTCTGTCCTCATTGCAGATGGCTCAGACTGATGCAATAATGCACGAGATTATTGGCTTTCTGGACCAGACCTTGTACAGGTGGGACCATCTTTGTGTGGAAGCCCCTAGGTCGAGAAAACTGGCCAGAGAGCTCCTTGCAGAGCTGCGTGGGCAAGCCTAGCCCAGGCAAGTTAACCAGGGAGGCTACGCGATGAAATGGTGGGGCCGCTTCTTATGGCCTCTGTTTGTCGAATGCATTCCCTCTTTGAGTTGCAAGAATGAGCCATAAACATCTTGGCAAGATCTGGTAGTACATATTTTACAAAATGAGAAGTCAGGTGCTTTAGCCTGAATTCAGTGAGATTTACTCACTAATGACGGGATTATGGTTCAGCATTCCCTGTGCCTGTTCAGCCCGGATGTCGATTAGAGAATCACTCAAGAAAAGGCTTGGATGGGAGAACAGATTTTTATTTCCTTCCCCGCCCCCCCCCATATCAAACCAAGATGCACAACTATTATTTGGATGTTTCAAACTCTTTGGACTAAGAAGTTGGTCATGAACCACTGATCAATTTAGAAAGTAACTTAGCTGTTTTCCACAGATCTCTTTTTTAAGAAGTCCTGTAATTGTTAGTGGTATTTCGTCTTATCCACCGCGATACTCTCTTGCTCCCCTAAGACGTTCTTCATCCAGGATAGTCAGGATCCCTCAAGTTTCCCTCCCGTGCCCCCTGAGCAGAGCCCACCCAAGCCCAGTAGCAAGTAGTGGTGACGGGGTAGCAACACTGCTTAGCAATGAAATAAAGCCAGCTTCGGGGCTTTTTGCTTTATACTGGCTAAGCACTGGCTGTTACCAAAAGAGCTCATATTACCTCAAAGGTGGCTGACGGGAGGGTACAGGATGTGTTCTAGAAACATTGCAAGAGATTATGTCAGTTCTCTACTAACTAAAATGGGAATTGGAAACTTCTAATAAAGAATTGGGGGCTTCCCTGGTGGCACAGTGGTTAAGAATCCGCCTGCCGGTGCAGGGGACATGGGTTTGTGCCCCGGTCCGGGAAGATCCCACATGCCGCGGAGCGGCTGGGCCTGTGAGCCATGGCCGCTGAGCCTGCGCGTCCGGAGCCTATGCTCCGCAACGGGAGAGGCCACAGCAGTGAGAGGCCCGCGTACCACAAAAAAAAAAAAAAAAAAGAATCTGCCTGCCAATGCAGGGGACACGGGTTCGAGACCTGGTCCAGGAAGATTCCCACATGCCGCAGAGCAGCTAAGTGGGTGCGCCACAACTACTGAGCCCGCGCACCTAGAGCCCATGCTCCGCAACAAGAGAAGCCCGCGCACTGCAACGAAGGGTAGCCCCCGCTTACCGCAACTAGAGAAAGCCTGCGTGCAGCAAAGACCCAACGCAGCCAAAAATAAATAAGTAAATTTATTAAAAAAAAAAAAAAGAATTGGCAACGCCAACATTAATATTTATTTCACGTTAGTTGAAGATCTTTTTTTCCTTTCAGGTTTATTCTTTTGCTCTTTTGTGTATGACCTGTTTGTCGAGTGAGTCCAGACTTTTCTCACTTGGATTTCTGCATCAGTCATCTCTGAATCTCCCTCATTCTTGGCTCCTGTTTGAGGTATAAGTAGAGTTTTGATGTATTAGAGGTTGAGCTTTTAGGGCAGTTACTTGTTTTGGTATACGGATCCACCTGAAGATCTGGAAAATTCCAAGAACTTCTGACCTGAGCCTTTCTTTAGAGAAATGTTACAGTGTGAAAGGTATATTGTTAACATACTTTCACAATCACAAGTGCCATCACATGCTTCCCTTGTTGAGGACGCGCCTCTCCTATGGTGGCTTTTGCCAGGGAAGCTGTGACCAACCTCTGTGGACATGAAGAAAAGGGCTTAGTTTGGTGGCAGTGAGTAACCCCTAAACCGAGCGGCCACTGGGAACCAGACCTCCCTGTGGGGAGCGTGCTTCCACGTGGACATCCATTCACACTGTATTTCACAGCAAACAATAAAAACAAGACGGGGGGCTTCCCTGGTGGCGCAGTGGTTGAGAGTCCGCCTGCCGATGCAGGGGACGCGGGTTCGTGCCCCGGTGCGGGAGGATCCCACATGCCGCGGAGCGGCTGGGCCCGTAAGCCATGGCCGCTGAGCCTGCGCGTCCGGAGCCTGTGCTCCGCAACGGGAGAGGCCACAACAGGGAGAGGCCCTCGTACCGCAAAACAAAAAAAAAAACAAAAAACAAAACAAAAAAAAAACAAGACGGTTATCTCAGATTGTTTAAGCTGCATTTCTGGAAAACCCCTTCCCGTCCTGACCTTACCTCAGTCTGTTTGCAGTATTTCCCAATTCCTTTACAAAGCGTCTAACGTTCTCCTAAGCCTTGGACTTGGATCAAAGAGGACAGAGCCCAAAACTATAGGGAGAAAAGGCATTAATGACCACCCATTGATACAGAGGTTATGTTATTCATCAGGACTCCATGATGTTTGCAGAATTTGTTAGCTTTTTCAAATTTGTAATTTGTTTTATAGTTTGTCATTCTAAATAAAAAGTCACATGGCACCTAATTTTGTATTCGTTATTATCTTTCTCAGAGAAAGCTTCCCTCTACTCGCCAATTATGGAAGCTTCAGGTCTCACAAAACCTAGATAGGTCTGCCCCTGGAAAAGACCAATTGTGGTTTATCTCTAGGCCTGGGAATCTTGCCACCAGATGTCTGAAAACTGCCAAGGAGAGTGACTGTAGGGCCGGCAGTCAGCAGGAGCTGCTAAAACCAAATGAAGTGCGTCATACATAAATACCCTTTTTTCCCTTTAAGCCAGACTTAAATACTACCACTGAGTGTAAGCTGAATTGATCTACACATTGTTTCCCCCCATTTCTCAAGAGGGAATGCATCTGACAAAGCACAGCCCACCCTCTTGCTCGTTCTGCTGTTTCAGACTCATGGCCCTGGCGCTCCAGCCTCCCCGGGCTCCTCTGGGTGTCAGGAAGGAGGGACTCGGCTCGCGGCTCCACTCATCCTTGAAGCACGCGTCCCGTGGCTCCCACAGGACCCTGGCCGCTCCCGGTTTTACTGCAAGCAGCCTGCATGGGTTTTCTGGATGATCACTCTGCTTCCTGACACCGGGCGCTGAGGGCCTCTTATCTTGTCTAGGAGGCATCTGAGACAGCAGAGGGCACCTGGGGACAAGCCCCTGTCCGGGCGTTCCTGGGCTCCAGCTTCTTCATTTGGCCCCGTTCTCGGCCCCATTCTTGCTGGGACAAGGGTACTAGACAAAAATGGGAGCTCTTCCAGAGGCCAGCAGAAAGCTACATTTTCCATCGAAGTGGAGGAGTCAAGGACAGGGACTGGAAAGGGATACCTGGAGAGGATGCGGACCTGGGCAGTGGGCAGAAATGCGAGGAAAATCTAAACTGAGCCTGTCCCTGTGTTACCCAAAGGGGCCTGGTGTTTGCACAGTGAGAACAAACGTGAGGAATGTTCTTCCTTATTCGACAAGGAATCCAAATTGTGCTCTCCAAGGAGGACGGGAATGAACTTGACTGTGTTGCTGTCCTTGCCTTCCTCTTCCTCTGCCAGCCCATCACCACGTCACCCACAGCCGGCACTGCTGGTGACGGCATCCTTCCTCTGCCTGACACTGGGTGTGACATGGATTTCGTCAAACAATCCTAAGTTATTAATCATCACCAAACCATCTCACTCTTAAAGAACCAAAATTAAGGCAAAATAAATGTGTCTTAAAGCCTTCTTGTAAAATTCAAGTCCACGGTTTGTTTATAGCATGGGTCCAAATCATATCGCTCATATATAGACTGACAGTAATAAGGGAAGTTGATAATGTAGGACCTTCCCTTTTTCCCCAGTACTGACATAACTGTGATACAGCTTATTGTACTTGGTGTTTTGGGTAGGAAACTTGCATGCTTGGATACTGAAAGTTTCACACTTCTTAGCTTTTCTGTAGAAGTAGAAAGTCTCATAAATCAACGTTGAAAATCTCGACTTCTGGTGTTTCTCACAATATGATGAATCCATGTGAATCAGTCAGGATTCTTGGTTGCAAGCAACAGAAACAGACACGATGTTGAAAGCAAAAGGGAAGCAATCCAAAGGGTATTTAAAAGCCCACAGAATTGTCAGGCAGACAAGGCTTAGCTCTAGCCAGCCAGCAGCAGTGCCCAAAACCCAGCTTCAGAGTGGCCTGGTGAGGAAATTTCTGCTGCTGCTGTCACTGAATTCTGCAACCCTTGTAGCTCGTCCCGCAAGGTCTGCAACCTTCAGTGGCGAGACAGGCCCCTGCACCCCGCTCTTTGAAGGGCTGGCCACAGTCCCGGCTGCTGCATCTGACTAGAGAAGCCCAGGTCCCCCACCCGCACTTAGGCTGTAAGGGGAGCTGGGAAAGCAAGTGTGGAGCTGGTTTCGCTTCTGTGACGGTACTGGACACCGCCAACTGCATCTCCCACAGACAGGAAGGGGCCAGAGCCTGGGCGGCGGAAGAGAATTAAAAACGTCCACAACACTACATATTGTCTACTCTTCTCGAGCACTGCAGAAGGATGAGTGCCATGCAGCAGCCCGATACTCTACTCAGTAAGAAAAGGAAGACGAGGGCCCTTAGCAGAAAGCCAGCGTGCAGGCATTTGAGGCTAGGCTTCTCCAGTGTGGCGCTACTACCCTGGGGACCGGGTAAGTCTCTGTGGCGGCGGCTTGATCCCACCCTCTCTGAGCTAGGTGCCAGCCTAGGAGCGACGATCGAAACTTTTGTCCAGACATTGCCAAGTTGAGAACCACTGCTCTCTAACTGGTGGTTCTTTCCTTCTGGAAAGATATCCTGAATAGAAACAGTAGCTGTCTTAGAGATATAAATTAGACTTAATAGAATTCTAATAGGAGAACTAGATGATCTGACTCCAAAATTCATATGGAAAAGTAAACGTTCAAGAACAGCCAGGAAAATCCTGAAAGTGAAGTGTGATGGAGTATAATGAAGAGTACGCACAAATTCTAAAGCTCGACTCACTATGACGAGGGCCCTCCTTGGGGCTCCAGCCAACCATTCTCAGGCCTCCTGCACCAGCCTGGGCAGTACCTGACCCACTGGGTCTCCATCCTCCCTGACAGCTTCCTCTGGCTGGTGGAATATTCCAGGGCTTCCCCTCAGCCTGAGGGGGCTGGGCCCTGCTCAACCCCTGACCTCGGCCTGGCGGGTGCACACGGGCCCCCACCATGTGTACCCTCACTCTGCTGGGCTTTCCACGAGCCACCTCTGTGCAGAGGGGCCGCACCCTCCCCGGACCGCAGACCTGAATACCTACAGCCCAGTGGCTGTTTCCACTGGGAGGTCAGGTGACCATGTCAAACTAACAGGTCCAAAGCTGATGCCACCCACCCCCTGACCCCAAACCACGGTCTTCCGAAGTCAGTCGATGGCCGTCCTGTCTTTCCAGGGTCTCAGGCCCAATTCTGTAGTTATTTTTCACTCCTCTCTCACCCCCACGTCTGAGTCACTAGGACGTCGCTGGATCGGACCGTTCCTTGCCCTCCTCGCAGACACCAGCATCTGCCTGCTCTCCCCGCTGCCGCCCTGGCCCCTCTGCAGCATCTCAGCGATCCCTTGCTGGTGCCATCATGCCACACCCCTGATCAGAGCACGACAAAAACTCCCGTCTTCATTCAGTAAAACTCAACACTCTTAAAATGGCTTTCAAGGCCCTACACAGTATGGGCCCCCTTTTACTCTCTGACTTCACCACCTAATATTCTCTGTGACCCCTTCACACACCCACCTGTTCCAGCCACAGGGGCCCAGGGCCTTTGCATGCGCTGTCCTGCACACACACCTTCCCCAGACATGCACAGCCATCCCTCACCTGCTCACGTCGCCACCTCCGTATGGCCTGACGCCCCCGTCTCCAGTGGCACCCCACTCTCCACCCCTCAGCTTTCGTCCCTAACACATAACACCTTCTAGACCCCACGTGGTCTACTTATATACTTGACCGTCCCCAATACAAGTGCCTGGAACAGTTCCAGGCATACAACAGGTGCCCAATATTTGTTGAATTAGTCCATACAGGGATTTAATACATGGTAAAGGCATTTCCATCAACAGGGAAAGATGGTGCTGAGAAATCATGTTGGAGCTCTACTTCTTAGATAATAATAAACACACACAAAAATGCCTAGCCCTCTTTCTTTACCAAAGTATCTGGAGGTTTCCTCTCTGGGGCTGTGGGTTTTCTCCAGAGAAAACTAGCAGTTCTGCTTGGAAAAAGAGGAGGGATGAGGGTGGTTGGAAGGCTGCTGAGAAGACAGTCTATTACTCAGATAAGTACAAAATTAGTTTATAAAATCAAGACTTTCCTACTCCCAAAATGAAGAAAGAATGTGCTTGTATTTCATTAAGAATTTCTTGCTCACCTGTGGTTGGCAGACTTTCACATTAAACCCTGATTTCAGCCCCTGGCCTCCCCCTCCCCACTGCCTGGGGTCTGCAAGTTCAAAGCCTTTGGGTCACTGCTTCCAAGAAGACTTCTTAATCCTTTGTGGGGAGGAGAGGGTCCTTCTCCACAGGAGCGGGGGAAGGGGCCTGAGGCAGAATCCAAGAATCCTGTTTTCAGCCCTCAGGCCAGAAAGGGAACGCTTTATATGCAAGATGCAAACCCAGACCCCACAGCAGGCGTGGAAAGAACTGTCCATCGACAGGTGAGTGGATAAGCAAAATGTGGCATATCCATACAATGGAATATTAGTCACCCTTAAAAAACAATGAAGTTCTGACACACGCTACAACAGGGATGAACCTTGAGGATATTTTGCTACATGAAATAAGTCAGACAAAAAAAGACACCATCGTATGATTTCGCTCGTATGAGGTACCTAGAACCGTCAAATTTGGAAAGACAGAAAATAGGACGGTGGACATTTCTACCTTTTGGCTATTGTGAATAATACTGCTATGAACATCGGTGGACCAATACCTCTCTGAGTCTCTGCTTTCAGTTATTTTGGGGATACATCTGGAAGTAGAATTGCTGGATCATATGGTAATTCTGTTACCGTACAGGTGCCATGGGCTGCAGGAGAGAATTCCAT